AAATGTGTCAACACGTCCAAGTATAGATGAATTTAAACTTATTATCACAATAAAAAAAAAAAATGAAAAAAAAATGAAGACATTACATATTTACATGCTAATGATTATTTTACTATTAGTTATTGCCAAAAAAAAAAATAAAGCATGAAAAAACATAAATAATTTATTTCCAAGAAAAAAAGTACATAAAAAAATATAAAATTTATATGCTAACAATTTATTTGATAAGTTATTAGCAATCCCTTTAACATAAATTAATAAGTTATGTATAGCTGCAGTTTATATGTCATAATGATGGCTAAAATTTATATGCTATGAAAAATTGTAAATTATGCATTTGGTTTATTAAAAATATACAAAAATATGCAGTTAATATTACAAACGCAAAAATAATATGTAATATACACTTAAAAAAAATCATACGTTTTAAAATAAATTAAATAATATTCTTAACTATTCATGCTATTCAAATGTATTACATAAAACAATTACATGAATTTTTAAATTTTTAAAACTGGACGGTCTTCTGTTAGACCTTAATATGGGTATACCTTCAATAGGTATTTTTGAACAGCGTCAATACATACACTGTCACGTGATAAAAACGTCTAGTAACGAAATATACTCTAAAATATGCATTTTTCGTATTTTTATAGTCGAAATATGCAATAATACACATTTTGTCCAAAATATTCAAAATAAAATCACCACTGTTTATCTCATCATGAGGTGACTCGTGGACATTACTTACAAAAGCAATAATCAGAAATTGCAAAAAAAATAAACTGTTGCACATAAATCCTAGCAATAGTCATAATACTAACTTTTTTTAAGGCAGTACTTATAGGGATAATGATTTCATTCATTACGAAAGGTTATCTGATTTCAAATATTTCACCACGAATTCGTGTTTCAATCACTTCCCAGTAAAATCAAATTAAAGATGATATAAAAAATAATTATATTATAAAAAAAAAACATTTTATTGGAATATATTCATAGTATTGAAACATTTAATATCTACTCAAGTTTTGAATTGATTTCAAAATAAATAAATATCTTAACTTTCACTATATGCAATATAAATTTAAAGCAATTACCAGTTTGAGTTAGTAACTGTAACGTCATAATTTTCATTGCCAATATGATACATTATGGACTGATTTTCGGAAAAGCAATACTTTCTGTGGATCCATTCTCGTTTTTATCATTACCTATATAAATGTGGAAAATTGTCTTTACCTACAATTCAATTCTGGATTTTCTGATTGTAAGTCTTCCTTTTAAGACTTAACACAAGCGATTACCTGATTAAATTGGATTACAGCATGTGATGTCGAAAAAGAAATCATAGCTAAATCAATATTAGTAACTGTTTTATCGTTTTTCATTATTTGATGAGTTTTTAGTGTAATACTATTTGAAAGCGACTTGCAATCTTTATGGGCATTGGTTGGTTTAGTAACTGAGAGTCTAGGTTGTTTAATTGCCCTAAAAAAAGGAACATAAATATAATTTATTGATAAAATGCATTAATTGAAATAGATAGGTACCATTTCCAAAGACCAATTCAACGGTCAATCAACGAACGCCTTGATAAGTCAGGTACTCGCAAATCTAATACATAAAACATATTGTAAGTCCTAAGTCTATGTCAAATATATATATATTATGACGATGGGTTGTGATGGTGATAAAGTTGAGCCTTTCTCAGTTTCGGTGCAACAGACGCCAAAAGCATCTCCTGCGTATTGCCCATCACCAATTCTGTTGCCAAACTATGCGCTGTACCGCAGATGAGGCGTATGATTGCCATAGTAAATGCTGCAGTGATGGCCCCAGCTGCAGAAGTCAAGATTCAGTCCTCTCATTACTCGTCATCATTACAGCAGGTTGTATGAAACTAGAAAAAAGCCCATTGAAACTGGGTATGGCGAAGTACGATGTTTCCGGTCTACCCACAAAAAGATGTTTATCAATGCCGAACATTTCGATAAGCATGACGCCCGATGCTATCGAAATAGAGGGCACTCCGTTGCAAATTTCAGCAGACTTTTCTGATAGTGAAGTAAGTACCTACAGGGGTCCTGCCTGTAGTATACAAAGTTAAAAGTTCACGTCGTTCCTTTTGGAGAGGAACTAAAAGACTTTTCCACCGTTTATTATGCTGCGCATAGTGCAGGTCGTCACTTATTGTTTGCTTATATTACGATAGGTAGCTACTAGCTACTAAAAATTGTGTTGGACGTAATTAAACGTTTTTGTTGTCTTATTTAATTAGCTATTATTTAATATAAAATAATTTATTTTTTGTATTTTTTGGATGTGGGTTCTAACGACAAGTTCGGCTGCTCGAAAAGTGGCTAAAAAATATAATCTTTTAGCGGGGCTAAACTTCCCTAGCCTCCCATTAGTTACATCCATGCTCCATGATAATTAGTATAATTTAGAATAAACCACCGAATTAAGAAATTTATAATTTTATAAATATACGTGATGTAAATGTATCCTCAAACAAAATATATAGATACTGGTTCACTATTTCCTTCACTCCTACATTCGAAATCGTGTTTTAATTGAATTCATTATAAACTTAATAGGTAGGTACTCTAATATAATATCAATTGTTTAATTAACCTTTTTTTTACAATCATATTCCACATAATACCATGACAAAATTCTATTTTGGATAATACTTCAAATTAATATATAGGTACCACAACTTTGCACGTTATCGGTTCTCAAATTAAGTAGAATTTAAAATATAATTTTTTCAGCGAAGAAAACAAAACAAAATGTGAATAGTGATAAGCGATAGCCCATTATACCCTCTTATAATTAAATGATAAACCATAATATTATGTTATAATACAGATTATTCTCTCTGTTTTTATGTCTATAGAAATCTTTTCCTATGAATAAACTGCAAAATCTAAAAATGTTCTCAGAGCAGTGAACCGATGCGTAGTGCATTGTGCATTATCAAGCGATAAGGGGAGAGGGGTCATGATGATAACAACCGTCGTTGTATTGATCGTAATGAACTGATAAATAATAATGTAGATAGTAGATATTCACTATCTATTATTATTATTATTAAAAAAAATAGTATTAGTATATTTACTTTTTAGTTGGATAGCTCGAAGCGTTCGTTCGTTGTTTGTTTTTATAATTTTATTCAGTCGAGTTTTTGGATCAATATTGTGGACGCGTGTGGCGTTTAGAGTTGGCACTGATTGTTATTTTCACACAATGTCTTTCCACGACAGTAACATGTCGCCATCTTCGACGTTCTCGATGGACGATGACGACAACATCAGTGTGAAAATCGAAAACAAAGATTTAACCGACTCCGATGGTATGAACTAAGTTTTAAGCAATAACCTTACGCATTATTGTCACAATTTTTTGTTTTCCAGACGAAGGCAAAGAAAACCGTGAGAAACACACTGAAATACAAGAGCAGTAAGTTAGCTAATTTTCACACGACTTAATTTTGTGTTAATGGTTGATATTCAATTTATCATTTATGTTTGATTTTTTCCCTACATTTTAGAGTTTATCAAGATAAATTGGCCAGTATCCAAAAGCAACTTCAACAGTTGCGCGATGGGACGCACGTGGAATATGTAAAACAATTGAAAAAATTGGATGCACAACATAAAAATGAGTGAGTTTATAATTGTTTTTCTAAATAATATCATACCACTAAAATCATAATCCATATAGTGTTTGATCAATGTATATTCTCGTAGGCTAATGATGAACAATCTCTGGCGTGACTGTTTGCTCGAAGCTATTGAAAGAGAATTTATTAGAGAACGACGCCTGGCTCATAAAGAATTTGAAGACCGTAATGCTGAATTAACTGAAACTTTGATATCAGAATTAAATGAGAGAAAAAAAGCTATAGAACATGAAAATTTAAACGTAGAACTTTGTACGTAAAACAATTTATTGTATATTTCATCCTTTTTATAATATTTGGTGGTTTTCAGCTCCAGATTTGTCAGATCAAAAGCCTGCTATGACAAGAAAATTAAGAAGAAGACCAAATGATCCAGTAGTGCCGGCGCCCCAAGAAAAACGTCGCAAGCCACCTCCAGTATCAAATATCTACTATTTGTTGCAAGATCACGAAATAGAACATGATGTTAAGCTTATCCAAGAATCCTTGGCTTCAATACCATCTACTTCTACCACAACAACTCCTACAGTTAAAACACGTGATACAGTTAATTCTTCGTCTATTAGGAAACCTGGTAGGTAATATTTACAATTGTTTAGTGATGGTATTTATTTTAAATTACTTTTTAGGATTTCTTCCAAGTACAAGTTCATCAACTACAGGTAATATGAGTCCTAAAAAATGTCAGAATTCAGATACTGAAGGATCATCAGCAATACCAGATACAAGAATTGAAGATGGAAAACTACTGTTTGAAAAGAGATGGTATGAATATTTTAGTAGTATAATCGTTTCCAAAGATGTAAATTATTTTAATTTTAGGTATCATCGAGGACAACCTGTTTTTGTCGAAGGAAGACAAATGGCAAAATTCCCAGCTATTATATCTGCCATTGGCAACGAAACTGTAAGTCATTAAATTTATGAAGACAGTTTATATTCTGTATTTTAGAAAATAATAGTGTTATTGAAAAAATTTTTAATCATTTCTTTATTACAGATTTGGGTAAAGAAAACGTCAGATAATTGTAAATTCCGTATTAATTTGTCTTACCTATCAAAAGGTAAAATGTCTATCAAACGTCGAGCTGCTGTTTAAACAACTAATTTTATTTATTCAGATGTTATGATATATAAATATATATTTATGCATGTAGTTCATTCATTTTTATTTAAAAATGTATCATGTTTTTTTTTTTTTAACATTATTATTAATAATGTATATGAAATTAACAATTTGTATCCTATAATAATGTTACATTTCCTATTATTAAACTAAGCTATTCAAAATGTAATTATTTTCAATCATTGTTTATAGTGTAAAAATATAATTTAATACAATTTTTTTCTGTATACAAATATAGAATAACATATATTACAGTCCATTTATGATAACAAGTGTTTTTGTTTTTTTTTTAATAAAAAAAATGGATTAGATTTTAATTTTAGGAATATACTCCTCAGCCAGTATATCAGTCATCTTCCGCTTAATGTGTGACAAATTTTGTTCAATATACTTCCAGTTAGTCACAGTGTCTTGGAGTAATACTTGAGCTTTGACTAGCTGTTGGTCTGTTTCATTCATTTGATTCATAGCATTTATATACATTTGCTTGTTAAATGTTGTGAGATTTGAATAAAACTGCATATTTTTCTCTTCTAAACAAATTTAATTAAAACATAATTAAACAAATGATCATGAATTATAATTGATATTTATCAGCAACTCATACTTACTTAATTTTCTATGCAGTAAAGTATCTTCAGACATTTTGAAATTGTCAGAGCGGCCAGCAAAACTTTCCCTTCCCACTCGACTTTTTCTATTTTCTACAAAATTTATCATTTATGAAAAACAGTTGATGCACGATAAAATTTAAATAAAATTAAAATAACTATTCAAAAAACTTGTGATTATTCAAAAATGAATGCTCACATATACAACTGCTTTGACTTACTTGAGTTGCTGGTCAGGTAATTAGAATCAGTATCAAAATCTTTATGGTCGCTCTCGGCTATTCCACTTTTTGAATTCTAAAATAAATTATTACCATTAAATGATAAGGTTTGTTTTAAACATAACAACAACAATAATGTATCGTAGATCTTACATCAATGTGTTGAAACTCTTCATCATCAGATTCAGGAGCTTCACCCAGAACGAGCATCGCTTTATCCGACATATTGTTCGGAGTATTTTGTTAGAAATTTATAAAATAGTAACTGCTATAAAATTTAAGGAGTAAACAGTTTATACAGTAGTATGAACGTAGACCTTAGTGTATAATATAATAGTATACTATAAACAATAAGTAAATAGAAAGTAGACTATATTTTACAACCTGTGAACATTTATTTATTTTATCAATAACAACAAAAATACTGATAACAATATCACTGTTTTTTATTTTTATCATTGATCATCCTGAATCATAATATATTGATACAATATTATTTATTATTTATTCATAACTTATGTCTTACATGTATTTTTTTTCTTTTAGAAAAAGGAATCATTAGTTATATCTAGACGAAGCATAATTATTAAGCATTATGTCGTATTGGTAACTACTCATTTAGTCATCACGTTGTTTACACTATGGTACCATTGTAATATAATATCTTATGTTACGACGCGACTGATGAGAGTATAGGATGAAATGAAATGGCTTTAGACAAATTTTGATTGTCTAAAAATTGAAATAAAGTTGAACGTCTGTACTATACAATCTATACATAATAGAAACTGTGAGTGTGTGAATATACATATACAAATGGTTATTCTTGGGATGAAAACACACGTGCTATGTGCTTAGACCCCGAGGGTTATAAAAGTAGAAGTTTAGATTTAGTGACAGAATTATGCTCGTACGAGTGAAAAACAAGATACAAAATAATGTCCTACTTGGCATCAACAAAAATTTTGCTTGACTAAGAAAACTCGCGTCCCCGCAGTTTAGAAGAGAAATTCTATTTGTGACATTCCATGTGATTCTAATAGAGTCTAATGATTGGCATTGTAGGTATACAATAAAATTCAGGAAAATCAAGTGGTTCTTAAGAAGTTTAACTTGTATACATTATTAAAATTTTATCTATTTGTATTGATGTATTGTATTAATTCATTTAATAAAGCTACAATCAGTGTTTTTTTAACTTTAAAATTACACATACCAAATTGATAATTAAATTTTTCATGTATAGTATATCACTGTTTTATTCTATTGTTTTTTAAATAACCAAATATTTAAAAAAAATCAATAGATAAGTTTTTAAAATTGATGAATAAACTAAAATAAGTATGCAAAAACCAAAAACACTAAATTTTAATTGTAAATCACCTAATCAGTGATCATTAAAATTTAAAATAAACTCATAGTAATTATAGTTGAATCATATTTTAAAATGTTATAAATTATAACTTATCAATGATTTATTCTATATTATAAAAATTGAAGATATTGCGGATAAAATTAACTTTATAGAACTGAAGTGAGAAATCAATATTAAAATGAAAACTGAAATTGGTTATTATTTATTAGTTAGGTAGTTAATTATTTTTTGGAATTGTTTGTATTTTGTAGACTAGTTGTAGTAAGATAATATATAGCAAATCACAAGCCTAATTAATAAGTATAGTCAAATTTTGATGCTACTTTAGAATGTTAGATGCGTGACTAATAGTTATATAAACTTTAAATAATTCTATTAACCACAATTTTTTTTCATATCATACTGCCTTGGTTCATAATCAAGTATTTTATTATTTATCTTATACCTTACAGAATTAAAAATTCATGAAAACTATGAAATATTCAATGTTATTGGTATTGACAAAAACTAAAAAATAACTAAACAATAAAGGTACTAATAATATTTATTCATAAATTGTGTAATCAATCTAAACATTTATTACATTTTATTTACTAACGTTTTAGAATAATTTGTCATATTTTATTTCAAGATAAATAGATGTTTGGATGTTTGCTCAAACTTTGTTTTTAAAATCAACTGTATCATACAAGTCAGTTCTTCTTTGATTTTCAGAGGGTATTTGCAGTCTCATTTTTTCACGATCACCAAAGTCTATACAAATTAAATAATATTTTTAATTTAAAATTTAGCAGAAAAATAAAAACCATAATTACCAAGATCAGCATATAAATCCATGTCTTTTTCAGTAGCTTCTTTTAAAATTTTACCCCATGGATCCACAACCATGGAATGACCCCATGCTACATAATTAGAATCAGTAACTCTGGCTGGTGAAACAACAGCTACAAATGCTTGATTATCAACTGCTCGGCATCTAGTTAATAGGCTCCAATGTAAAGGTCCAGTTGTCATATTAAAAGCACTGGGGTATATTAACATATCACAACCTAAAAACCAAAATCTATTGTAATACTAATAATAATATAATATTTATTAATCATTAAATAAGCAACAAACCTTGTTTTCGGTATAGTGTTGCCATTTCTGCAAATCGTATATCATAACAGATTCCTAGTCCAATTTTAAATTTTCCTAATTGAAATGTATTTAGTGAATTTCCAGCAGCTAGAGCATCAGATTCTTTGAAGCAAATTCCACCAGGAATATTTATGTCAAATAAATGCACCTATAATTTTATATTTCTTTTTTTAAATACATATTATATAGTAGCAAGTACAGTGAAATTGTAACAATTGTAAAATAATATTAGTTAATAATCAAAATTACATTTGATATTTTGAGCTATAGTCTATTTTATCATAAAAATAAAATAAATGGTTAGTATTATAAAAACATTTAACTAGGGCAGTCTTATGAACCGGAAATCTTTTATTTAGGAAATTATGATTCCAATTCATAGTATTATAACTATTTTTTATAAGTACCTCCTGGTTATGTAATATAAATTTTTTATAGTACTTTTCTATGTTTAGCTATCAGGTTTCCATTCGGATCCCAAACTGTACATGTGTTGTACACTTTGTCATCACATATCTCTGGGATCGAACCACCTACAATATACATTTCATTTGATTTTGCAGCTTGAGACAAAGCTTTACATGTTTCACCTCCGGGAATAACTTCAGAGTATTCTTTGAACAAAGCTAAAAAAGTAGTAATAAAATTAAATTAAAATCACAGCATATGAGGTATTTGTCAAATGATTGGATTTATATATGATTAAATAAAAAATATTATTAATAAACATAAATTGGGATCATAAAAATTGTTACTATTTAGAATTTATACTGGGTTGCACAAAATTTTAATAATTTTCAAATCATGTGTCACAATATTATGATTAAATGCAAATTAGCTGTAGTATAATAATTGATTCACTAAATATTTTGTTATGTTTAATTAACTCAAGATCAGACTATCTGGTTTACCTACCAGTGTTATATGGAGAGTTGAAACATTCAGGTAATATGGCTAATGTACAGCCATTCAATTTTGCTTGCTGTAAACGTCTCACTGCATTGGCTACATTTGATGATTTATCAGCGGTAACGGTCAACTGTAGTAAGGCCACTCGAAAACCTAAGACAAACATAATACATTATGATATAAACAATAAATTAATATAATATATTATAAGTATTCATGATGTCATGATGGCTAAATGGAATAATAATTTATATTGTTTTACAATAATTACCTGAAGAACTAGACGAAGCCATTCTGGTTTGGACGAATAATGTGAATGCCTGTTTCAATAGTATTCGACCAGCAAACATTTGTGGCAACACCCGTTGGTTACTAATTACTATAATAAAGTATAGTGATGATAATTTTGTCTGTAATCTTATAATTATCGCGAATTTATTTTCGACAAGTCGTTAATACCAATTAATTATTTATTTTTTATAACTACTGTTATAAATTTTATGAATCTTAACTTAATGACTACAATATCATAATTTAATTTATAATTTAAATCCATGATATTGTAGTCATTAAAAAGTCGTATTATTATGCAGTATGCACGCACCCACCGAGTGACGGGACGCCGGTGATAAATGATAATAGTGATAAGAAATTCTTTTTTTAATACGTAGATAGGTACAACAAATAAAGAGTAATAACAGTGGTAAAAAAAAAAGAAGGACAAACAATAGGATGAAAAACACGATTTAAAGGGGTACCCAGTGGAGTAAAGTATCTACTTTGATTAACGGGGAGACGGGTGGAGGAGTTTAGAAAATTAGAGGAGGTCTTTTCACCATTTTATTTTAGCCTTCTTTGCGGATTGTCAGGGATATAGTTTGAAGAGATGTGTTTTATGTTGGGAATTTGGGATTAGTGTGGAAGCTAAATTTACTATGAAGTTTTTGCTTAAGCAGTTTTGAGGGACTGGTTAACGTAATTAATTTTAAAGACTGTGTGAAAAGTTAAATAATTGGTAAAATACCAGGGAGAATTTGTAAAAGTGGGTAGACAAAATAGATCCGTTGACCGTTGGCCGTTAGTCGACGCGCGGCCCGCGAATAGCACAAATGCACAACTCCGAACTCGCTAATGGACGGTCACCATGGAGGTAAGCGTAACCCATAAACCGGGTAACCGTCGTGTGCGAGTTTAATAATTTTATTTTCCGTCATTGGCAATTATTATTACAGATTCGAAAATTTGGGACTACGCAGACAATAATATGTGTGCGGTTAGATTATTTTGAAAACGGTTTCTATCGTTATCATGGGCATTGTGCACGATTGAGTTGTGTTTTTGCACACGAATGAGTTTTAGTCTTTTTGGCTGTGGCTGACGAAAAAAATAAACGACTTGCGTTTTTGGGTCGCAGTACCGCGGGAAGGATGATCCACGGTGCTTGGAGTTTATTACCAGCGTTCGTGTTATATAATAGTTAGGTACCTATCTACATGGTAGGTAACTGTTGCATATTCAGCATTTATACAGGTATATCACACGTTGTGTTTACATTAATAATAATAATTATATGTGTCATATTACATGATCGGTGGTGACTATCTCCGTCGGTCTTTAGTGAGTAGACAATTTTAATAAACGGGCATAACGACTTGGTGTGTTAACAATAATAAAAGATTTTAAATTACGTTTGTGTAATTGAAGACCCCGGTGCAATAACCAGATACGTCCACATTTTTTCAAAAATCATGTTTTGATATAGAAATAATCAGAAAAAAAATTCTCTATCGATCGGTGCAAAAACCGAATACGTCTAACGAATAGTATTGAAATAAAAATGATACAACTGATTTTTAAATTTCTGTTGGGTGCAATAACCAGGTATGTCTGGACGTATCCGTTGATACAGTATATATCCATTTTTTTTTTTTATTGGGCACAAAAACCAAATACGTCCGGACGTAACTGGTTATTGCTATCAACACTTTTATTCAAATTTTACTATTCTATCCATTGCAATAACCAAGTATAAAGACTTAGTTTTTTTTGATGTAGTATAAAAATAAAAATATATTTTAATGAAATAAAATTATTTTATTATAATAATATACTGTATTTTTATCCTTTTTGGTGATTAATAAGTATTTTTGTAATGGTACCACTATTTTTAATCAATATGAATCTAGTTATACTATCAACAAAATATATCAGAATTCTTATTATTAATAAATAATAATTATTACTTATTAATAATTTTCAAATAATTAGGTACCTACAACTGATATTTTATCCTAAAATTTTAATTATTACTTATGATTATATTTTATTTTTATAAACAAAATGAGTGATAGTTCTTTAAATGTATTCGATGACACGGATTCTGATCCAGATTTTATTAACAATGGAATGAGGACTGATTCCAGTTTATCAGTGTCTGATTTTGATGAGGAAATCTATAGAAAACTAATTGAAAATTATCAAAAGGCTAATGACAATAATAATTCAAATAAATGCACATTTTCAAATATTAATAAATAAGTTACCTCTTATAATATATTAGCTTATGACAGTGAAAGTTATAATAACAATAATTATCATTCTAATGGTTTTGAACAAAACCATAATATTCCATCTACTTCTTTATGTGTAATAGAACCATCTAACACTGATGAAGAAGATAATATAGTTGATAGTGAAAGAAAAGGTAAGAAGAACCGACGAAGATTAAGTCTATGGAATAGGAATAAAGCCAAAACCAGTAAAGCTTTTGGTTTAAAATACACAAGTAGAAGTGGAAAAGTGGTTGGTACCAGGAAACCAGGTAGGTCTTGTACATGTAAAAATAAATGTTTTTCTAAAGTATCCGAAGGTGACAGGGCTAGTCTTTTGAATATTTTCAATAATATTGGAGAAAAAGAAAAACAAGATACATATTTATGTGGTTTAATTCAAGTAAAAGATATTATGCGTTGTAGACCTAGAACTGGTGTTAAAAAACCAAAATCCGCTACTAATAAGTTTATTTTGAAAATTAATTGTATGGAATATAATGTTTGTAAAAGATAATTTTATGATTTTAAATAATAACTTATATTTTCCTTATTTGTGTTATTACACTCTCTTTCCCCCTCCCCCATGCGTATCTATTAGTCATTGTTGCCGACACGAAAAAAGTTCGGTGACTCGATACATATATATATATATATATATATATATATATATATATGTATATATGCACTCGTACATCACACGGACCGATTACAAAGATCCGAACTCCCGTCGAGGACACACAAACGACTTGCGGAGAGTGCAATAATCCCTTTTATATCGTCGGACTCGACTCTTCGCGTACATCCTCCGATGAACAGTCGAAACGTTACGACCCGAGCTTGTGTGATGTATACACACGCATTATACTATCGTATTGATAACTGTTTTTGGAAATTTTCTCCGCGTACAGACGCACCCGTGTTTACGATGTCTAATCACGACCGTTCTGACGTCCCCCAATATCGTTCGCGTCCCTCGTTGCCAATCATACACACATATACACGTATATGTCATATATACTCCCGTGCATTTGTGCACACACAACGATACAGTTGAACGTTATTATTATTATTATTATTTTTTTGCTTCTCCTTCTTCGTTAACATTACACTGTACATCCGTTTGATCTCGTGGGGTACAGTAGTCATTTTTAACGACGACCATCAAAAACTGACGAATCGCGCCCGACGAATATTATATATATAATTTTTTATCATCTCCCAAAAAGGGAAACAATATTTTATTGTTTACGAGAGACTTCGACGATGTGTCGTATATATATGGACGTTATGAATGTGTGTATGTTTTATTTGTGTTCGTGTGCAGATTCATGATGCTACTGCTCTATACGCGTATTATTACGGTACGCTCCACAGTTATGATGTTCTTTCTTCGTTATATCGGGAATCGTATATAAGTACCTCGGATAATGACCGAAATAAACATTTCTCTGTAGACTGTAATTATTTTTTTCGTAAATAAACTGTGACTGCATCAATATTACAAATCACCCCAACTCTGATACGAAAAGGAATTAAAGAAGCCTTTGGTCACCAGTACAATATAAATCTAAGAAAAGCATCATATATGCCAATTTATATCATCGATCCCATGTCTTTCGGAAACCTTATTACTCGTAACAGTCATAAAAGCATACTTAACAATATCATAACTCCGTTATACAACGTTACACGCAAAAACACAGAAATACATCCCAGAGCCACAATCAATGCACTATTTTTAATCTTCCAAGATTCGTGAGATTGTGACACGAGACAAGTGAAGAGCCATCCAATCCAATCAAGAACGACAAGCAAAAAGAAACAGAACCGAGACGGCGACATTCCAGCTATAGTATCTAAGCGTTGTGTAAGCAACGCAGACAAGCACGAAGCACACTACGGAGTATACCTATTATTTATTTAATCGTCCCTATTCCTATAATAGTCTTAAAAGGGTACAGGGTACGACAGGTACGTAGCAACACTGTACGCT